CTTATTTATCTTGTTTCGGATACTCTTCGGAGTAATTGTAACCTAGAAGGTGCATCAATTCCAGGTACTGCTTTGTATTTCCATTTTTTAAGTAATAAAGACCGTTTTCTCCTAGAAGTTTTGCTTTTTCTGGACCTTGGACTGGGAGATACGAGTTCAGGTTGCACTTATTGGAAACTATTTGAACTGCTACGGTTGAAATCCATTTACATTGAGGTCGATTTCATATTGTTACTAAGTAGATGTCGTAGTAACTCTGCCTTAACTATTTTCTCCATAACCCGAGATACTACCGAAGTTATGTTTGTAGGTCGATAATTTTCAACGTTCGCTGTAGGCCCAGATTTAATTATGGGGATTATATGTGTAGTCTTCCAGTTATTTGGGTAACACTCTGTGGAGAGTGATATACTTAAGTAGTGCTTTGGTTATATATATACTTGCCACACTGCTGCCTTTTTCCCTCTCTCTTTGCTCCCTTTTGAGAACCTCGTTCACGATAGGAAATCCATGGCGCCTCTAGGGAACATGCACCCTATGTACATGACTGTTTGAATCACAGCTGGTATCAAGCGCGTTCCGTTTGACCTTTCCCAACAAATTCACTATTGATCTCGGCAAATCGCCAAAAGAACCTATTGTGCACCTTCCTTATTTGTACTCTACTATTGAAAATGTAGCTGTTTTATACTGTTTCTGTCAGTGATATGGTGTAAATATGCTATCAGAAACTGACTCTTATACCCAATTTAACTGCTATAACTTTTACAGTAAATGTGAAAGCATTTGTGACAATTTGATCTAGCCTGTAGACGGCATGCCTCTTTTGACGAAGTTATTTAGGAATAAATATTATTATTATATCATACCTTATGGGTTATAATCATTGTTTACCCTAAAACGTTTCTCACTTCTGTGAGATTGTTACATCAGTTTTCGCCTTTTGTACAAATCACATGGACATGGGACAACCGTAATCTAAAAGCAAAAAAACTAATGCTGATGAATTTTAAGTAAAATATAATGCTCAGTTACTAAACAGATATTAAATATTGTTTTTTGACAGAGATGAACAAGAAATCGTCAGACCATTTATAGAATGATCAACTCTGCACTTACGTTTCATTGACTTGTTATCCTCACTGCAATTTATCACACTAAGAGACTTAAGAGAATGGCGTCTTCCCTAAAGTGAGGTTCGGATCGACAAAATGACCCCCATAAATTATCTCACTGGTCAAGATCTAGGAAGTTTCAGATAGATTCTTCCCGTTGCATGGTCCATAGTGGTTGTAATTGGATTTTCTACCGTGGCAGTTCAATTCGATTCCAATAGACGTATGTCGGACGCACTTCCCGATTTTGAATATAAAAACACAATAATTCTAGGGGAAAATGGTCTATTAATAGATAATAAATGGAAATACAAACAATACCTAACAAATTTTACGCCTTCCAATTCAAAATTACTCTGAATGAGTATCGAGGTTCCGAAGTCTAGGTGAACTCCTATACTGCACGATATCAATCCAAAAAATGTGGCGGTAGCCATATTAAAGATCGAATTTAAACAACATATGTACAGTTCAGAAGCAAACATAAAAACTTCAATATAAGTACAAAATATAGAAATAATAACAATATACAATGACAAATCTGAAACTGGAATCAAATAAAATAGCGAAATGTCAACAGAAAAAGTCCGTCATGTCATAACAAAAATATGTAAACATGGAGGGATTTTCCAAAAAACAAAACATTCAAAAAGGATTCTACAGTGGTAACCTGTGTATATATATATGTAAATCGCATTCAGCTACCGACTGTCCAGTCACACAGTCAGTCATAGATAGCCAAGAATTAAAAATCTCTGCATACTCTAAAAATAACTATCAAAGGTTTTACGGTCAGTATGCAGAGCTTTCAGGTAGTTCAGTGCTAAAATATTTTAATTTGTGTGCAGAATTCCTCAGTTTTTAATCTGACTACGATATATGAGCAACGGACTTAGTTATAATAAAGACAGTGAGATGTTGTAAAAGGTACGCTCATATTTAGTCTTTATAATAACTGTGCTGACGAGAACACTTTGGAATAGTTCTCAAGTCCTGAAAAAACTATCTGTTTGCTCGCGGTCGATTCCTAGTAGAATCACCTCATATAACACTCATACACGATATGACCTGAACAGTAAAATTGGCCTCCAGAAATCGAACAAACATTCAGGAATAGTCCTGTTCGTTTTACGGAAATTTTGAGCTGGTAGATGGTAGTGTGAACGACGCTCAGAAGCGTGATACACAATGGTTGCAGTGTCTAAAACGTACCACACGTAACATACCGGACTCGAAAAACACGGTCTCATCAATGAATTACTCCGTTCAGACAAAAGTCTACGGCGGCCAGTTACTATAGAGGTAATTCACCTGGTGTCACAAACTTGTTTATAAATCCAAGACGAATGCTGCTCTTGGAGTGCACAATGTGAAGGGACAAATCATCAAGTGTCTCCATAGTAAAGTCAGAGCATTGAAGAATGGACTGGGATGGATCAGAAATATCGGATTTCAGATGTAACTGAAGATTTTAATGTTTACTGAAAAGTGGTTGTCCTCGAAATCACGGATGATGGGATAAGGTCTTAAGAAATGAAACTTTTAAGGTGCAAAAGTGTACATAAAACAGGAGGTAAATTGGCACTATACATTAGTAGCTATATAAACCGTAACACTCCCAAGTGCGTAACTAAACTACGCAACTTTACCATGCTTATACTGCTCCAATATGAATGATACAAAATATTGGATAGTAGTGTTTTTCAGGGTCCTCTCATAAAAATTGAAATCCAGGGAACAACTTCCATAGAATAGGTCCAAAACTGGCTCATGCTAGCCACAAGAGGATCGGGACTGAAAAGTCAAGTGCATGACGCCACCAGAAAAATTAAGCATCCTCAAACTTGGATTATTTATAAACAGATGATGAGCTTGTGGTTGAAGATGTCCATGTCCATACACTAATAGGAATTTGTGATCACAGCACTTGAACATGGTCAAAAACAAAGAACCCAGGGAAGGGATTTAGGAAATGCAGCCTATCGGTGCTACACGGCCATGAGACAGTATCTTCTTCAAGTCAAATGGAAGAAAGAATGATCACTGACAAACGATGTGAGAAATCATTCAAAATGCTTTCCGACCAAATTTTCATCTGGCGACTGACATACTCGGAAAGAGAATAACATGGGTTAGGTGAGGCATATAAAGCTTGTTAAACGTGAAAAGGAAACACTGGCACTATTTGGAAGTTTCCATGAAGGGTTCTGATCGTTTTGTTTAGTTGGCATTGAGAGACATGTGTAAAGTCAAAGTTCGAAGCGACAGATGCTTCGAAACAAAGCTAGCAACCGAAATACAGGCAAATCAAAAATATCTTTATCGAATGACTACTCAGATAAAACCTACGAAATAAGGTGTCTGCGCTCCTAAACGTTCAAAAAGAATAGATCTTACCAACTTGGGTGGCTTAGAACTTAAATGCAAACTTCATCGACTTGCAAAAGAGGTACCTAAAAGTGTAGACTACTACTATAACCTCGAGTGAGCTGATAGCTTTAGGAATATCCCACCTACTCCGGGCTCTATGTGGAGATCAGTGTAGTACGTTCGAGGTGGTGAGTTTCGACACCAGGAGTATCACAGATGAATAACTTAGGTAAACTCATCTTCCTGATATTTATTGCTGACAGATCATATAAAGTCTGAGAAGATCAGGAAGAACATCCTATCCGAAGGAATACATCTAAGCTTCAAAGGGATCTTAAAATAAAACAGAAAGGGGTAATGGACAAACGATTAGTGCTTATGCAACCAAGATGATACTTCATGAACGTTCTACCCAATGAACTTCAAACGACTGGCGTCATCAGTTTCCTCCTAGATGTTGCCTCAGAGCACGATTTCATCCCAATATTCAAGAAGAGCCTGGAAACAACTTCAAACTACACAGTAGATGCGACCAAGTCTACGGCAACTCTTCATTGTAATCGAAGACAATTTGTTAAAATCATCCCACAGCTGTTACTAACTCTCTTCAACGCTTACGCACGCCCACAGCTTGAGGTTCACAACGTCGTCACAGCATTTCTCGGTTGGAGAGACAAGAGTCTCATCGAGCGAGTTCAGAGAAAAGAAACTAACCCAGTGATCAACTTATTTAATTAATTACATCTTTCTAAAATTGTCTTCTCCTTATCGTTTTTCAAATTATCTCATTATCACCCACACTGTAGGTAACTGCTCTCCAGCCTGATAATCTGATAGCTGCTGGCATTCGGAAACCCTACTGCCCTGAGACCAACGCACTCACGCAAATCAATGGATATTTTAATCCATAATATAGTTGACTGACTAGACCACTGTTGATTGGAAGCTTCTAGATGCCTTAAACCATAAAGAAATCAAATGAATAATACTATGTTGTGAAAAAGCTATTTAAAATTGTACAGTCTTATACTACATAGTGTATAAGAAGTCACGAATTACCATGACAACGCCCATATGTTTTTGAAGAGTTTGAATGGTGTGAAACGGAACTTTAAAGAAATCTATATGATTCATCAGTAAGCTAGGTCATGTCTTCAGACGTTAGTAAAGGAAAGCATATCTGTTCCAATGGTAAATACTGTTTTATATAGATGAACCAAGTATTATAATTGATTAATAATTCAGAGCGACACTTAACATTATATGATGCTGTGAACTTCCCTTACTCTGAAGTGAATGGCTCAAAGACAAGCAATATTTCAAATAACAGGAGAGGAAGTCCTGAAGAAAATGAAGGTAAGCTGATGTCGGTCTGACCTAAATGAAGTTAAATAAACCCTATCAATAATTGTAACAGTCACTTTTTAATCTCACCTGATTTTAATTATATAGGAGGCTTTTCTAAAAGTGTATTTGGTTACACAAAAGTTAAAAATTATCCGCACATTCATGAATGAAAGCTATAGGACTTTGAGGGACTACCAGATATTTTATTTTGACTAAAGTAGATGAATACTTTATTTCAAATATAACTGTAAGAACATTATACGTAAAAAAAAACCGTTAGATATATAGTTGAGGTTAAATTCCAATAATCTATGAAAAATAACAGGCCATTTCTCCTTGTTATAATTTTAAACAAGGAGTGAAAATATAAATCATTAGTCACTTTTGTTAGACAAAAGTTGTACGATGTGAAATATGAGCCAAAAATAATCGAATGACTTCCCGGTGTAAGAGCTACAACGCATAACATCATTTATTATCTCTACCTCGGTGATGGCATTTTCAGGTTTCAAAAGATCTTGACCTGAAATCGAATATTAATGAACGGGTTTCAAAGAAATCGACAGCGAAAGTAGTCTAGACAATCACTAACCATCTCATTCTGTTTCGTTTTCTATTGCCTGGAAACCTAAGATTACTAACAAACGCAACGATTTGGCAAGTTGGTTGAAATAGTAGTCAGTGAACGTGACATGATCAGATGCTCATTCGAGGAAGTAATATACTTGCATAACTATTCATAATCAACCACGGCAACGCTGTACACATTAGTTCAGAATCCACGGAAGGAAATCATGTTAGACACAAATCAAACAATATACTAAAATCGGAATTACAATCGTGAAACCTGAAGTTAAACAGAAACCTTCATCCGCTACTTTCGGTGAAGTTTTCGCTTTACTACTTTGTTGAAACCACGGTCTAAGGCTAAGACTGTAACCCGATGTACTTTCTTCACTCCTCAGCTCCAGATGTTGATCATATCAATTTCGGTGGTGATAAACAGTGCAATATTCCCAGAAGCATCAGGAGAGAGCTCGAATAATTGACTCGTCGATACCAAAGGTATGATAATTTTTCTGGGCTTCTGAGTTTGCGTAATGTACTGAACGAAATAGGATTTGTTCTTTATACGGTTCGTTTTGAACACGAAGAAATTGTTAGGCATCAATTACCAGGACTATTTATATGAACTAAGGATCATACCCATGCATACCGTTAAACCGCATGTCATTTCTCAATTGAAGATTGGACCATGTAATTATATATTGGTCATTGGAGAAAAATGTTATGACTACCGTTCCATTAAAGGTACTATTAACCGAAAACTGATGTCGTTTTAGCTGTTGGAAAATCTGGTTAGCCAATCTCGATATGAGTTTATGACCAAACACTCACTAGGTGCTCTTAGATCACATTGTTGAAAATGAGATATCGACCATTTGGTAATGTAATTTTATTTCACAAACAAATAGAAGAATAGTACTAATCTAAGAAAATCTGCCTCAATACTGGTTTCATGTTTTTAACGAATTCAAATCTTTTGAAATTGCATTTGATCGTTTATCATAATAGAAAAACCCAGGATGTGCACTTCATTTCAGAATTCATAAGCTGGGTACATCCGCACATCGATGTTGATATAGCACTCTGAGATTCCAAACCAATACCTTTCATTTCAAACACTTAACGTGTTATCCACTGAGCTACCGAGCCTAGCACACCAGTGGCTTGTTGAACACGTCTGATCTTTATGTACTAGCCTCGATTCATTTCCTTCAAATAAATAGTTATAGAAACAGCCATACTGAAAAAATTCGCATTGCATGCACACATACAAGCAAAGATTATTCAAAATCCAGTCCTAAATTAGGTAACTTAAGCCCTTCATTAGTTCCTTCATGGGGAAGTTATCATGACTATTGTAAAGTTTGTCTATAATTATCATAAAGCTAGTTCTTGTGTCATTAGTTTGTTGAGATAAACAGGACAGTTTGTTTTCCTGGGACTTTTGATGTTTTTGACATCACGGCGAAAGAATACTACCAAAATTTTGAATGTTTCCTTAATTAATAATTAATGGAGATATATTAAAAGATAGAAATACGTTTAACAATGCTTAATTCTATTTTTTTAGTAGTAAAGCTAATTATGATAGAGTTTCCTTATCGATCACAATTACTAACATGAGATACCGATTTTCTCCATCATCTCAAGTACAGCTAATGCCAATTTCGTTTTTATGCTAATTAAAGAGACAACGATATTACATAAGATATTGGTGTACCAGAGTTTCTCTGCTCTCTCACTGGATGTCAAAACTGTTTACAATGGCTATTGGTCCAATCTTTCTACAGTCTTAATCCTCAATCATACATGGAGAACTAAACATATTACTTAAATCTATCTTAAGTAATCTAACTACTGACTTTAATCATAAAGTTACATCGCTAACGTTATTATCATTATATGTCAAAGCTGCGGATTAACTGTATGCATGACTACCGCACATCAAAGATAATACAAACTTTTTAAAAACAAATAATTCCTTTTAAAAATTTTAATAGACAAATGAGAAGACGTAATAGATCAGAAAAATGTGATGTATTTGCGCAATACATTTCGAATAATCTGGCTGCACATATACTTGTCAAGACATTCTATATGAAGAATCAATCAGTCAGTCAGATGCAACGTAGAACTTCGTACGTAAGTACATCAGTTCATGTTGCCATACCACATCAGCACAGAGATGCAATTGTCAATTCAAATCCAATAGTAGAAGAGCTAGTAAAAGTATTAGAAGTAATCGGAGAGGTTAGGATTAGAAGATATTATTCAAGAAGTACGATTCAACGATAAAAGTTTAGAAAGTCAAAACTAGAGGTGTTGAATAATCCAGAAGATTAGGGTTTGAGAGAACACGAAGAATAAATGCACCGGCGCCATTGCGAACGATTTTGAGCCATGTCATTCAAGGTCTCTAACCATCGATTATTATCATCTCGCTGATCCCAACCAGGTAGTCGACAAATGCCGACATGCCTAAGTCCACTCGTTAATGATTTCATGGATTTCTGTCATGTTTTGGTTTGGCCGCCCCTAACTTTCTTCCAACGTACTCCTACACCACAAAACAAAGCTCTTCGAGGCAGTCGGTGGTTAGGCATACGCAACACGTGTCCCAACCACCTCAACTGATGAAGTTTCATTACTTCATCTATTGATCTGCCATTCTTACCTAGCACCCGCTTCCTAATAACAGCATTGCTCACTCGGGTGTCTCACGATATACGAGCAATGCTTCGAAGACATCTATGATCGAAAACCAGTAACCTACGAGTATCTTCTACTCTGACTGGCCATGTTTCACAGCCATTAAGTAAGACGGAGCGAACTGCTGCGCAGTACACTCGTCCTTTAGTCAGCAAACGGATATCTCGCCTACGCCATAAGTGACGCAGGTTGGCAAAAGCCAATCGAGCCTTCTGTATCCGTGCTGAGATTTCGTCAGTCTCCAGGTCATCAGCACTGATAAGACTCCCACGATAAGTGAAGCGGTCTACACGTTCGACTACTTCACTCCCTATCACTAGTTCAGGTGCCGATGAAACCCAATCACGAAGATACATTTTGCATTTCAAGGGGGAAAACCGCATCCCAAACATGCTTGCATTGTTGCTTAGGGTGGTCAGAAGACTCTGCATTTTGTCAGCGTCTTCACCAAGTAGGACAATGTCATCGGCATATTAAGCGAGCCACCTAGTAGAAGGTCTACTACTGAAAATTCAGACGAGGATAAGGTTATATCTAGGAGCATGTCTATGATAAAATTAAACAAGTATGGAGAGAGTGGACATCCCTGACGGACACCACTTGAAGTGGAGAATTCCGATGACAGTTCGCCATAAGCTCTCACTCGACCAGTGGTGTTCGAGTAGAGAGCTTTCAATGATACACTGCCACAGAACCTCACGATCCACTGAGTTGAATGCCGCCTTAAGGTCTAGGAAAACAACTATTGTAGGACGCCTAAATGTGTGTCTGTGTTCCAGGACCTGTCTTAGTGTGAAAATGTGGTCTATACAGCCACGTCCAGGTCTGAAACCAGACTGGTTTTCTCTAGTCTTCTCTTCACGGGCGTTCGTTAAGCGCCGAAGTATTATTGAGGCCAATATTTTAGATACTATACTAGTTAGACTTATTCCCCTGTGATTGTCACAAGAAGACTTTTGTCCTTTCTTATAGATTGGGACAGTTAGTGATTGAGACCAGTCGGATGGGATTACGTCCAGTTCCCAGATTCTACCTAAGTTCTCGGTCAACCTAGCTGCTAAAATTGGACTCCCATCCTTAAATATCTCAGGGGTCAGTCTATCAGGACCTGCAGCTGGCCCTCGTTTCAGATTTCCTAACGCTTTCTCAACTTCATTAAGACTTGGGGGACTTATCTTGATTTGCCATTCAGGATGACTGGAGATCGTGGGTAACTGAAGAGTGGCTCGAGGCCAGTTGAACTGATCCCTAAATTGTTCTGCCCATCGATCCAGTCTCCTGGATAATAGTCCCGTCATTTTCCGAGATAGTTTCACTTACGCTAGGATTCCTAATGTCAGTTTCCTTGATAAGTTGGAAAAGTTGTCTACTGTTGCCGATCGCCACTGCCTTTTCCATCGAATTTGCTTTCGCCACCCACCACTGTTCACGGTCGTGGCGCAGGCTTTTTATCAGCCTGCGCCTAAGATGACTACGCTCTTCACCATGTTCAGAGCCAGGTGGGATGAGTTTTCGTGCATCCATCAAATCGGTGGATGCTACAGAGATCCATGGCTTCATCCTAGCCTTATGGTTAACCTTACTAGCAGATATCACTGCTGTTCCCACGGCCTTTTTGATATCATTCCAACCTGACTCCGGATGGAAATCAGTTGCATGGTCGCCTGTCTTTCTAGTTGTTCCTGAAATATATTCTTCGCCTTATTATCATTAAGTAAAACCCTAAGAGGCTTCCTTACGGTGTCTTTCCTACGTCCAGTTAGCCTCAAACAAATACGCGCTCGCACTAGGGTATGATCTGAATCTAAACATGTGCCCCACAACGAGCGACAGTCCTCTATCGAACCCCTCCATTGGTGAGTGCCTAATATTTTGGAGGTGGTTCGAAAGCTTTCTTTAAAACTCATCTTTCACCTCGTCTGAACTGCAGTCGATGGGGCATAGGCAGATATGACGAAGAGGCAACGGCGAGTGTCCCTATCTTTCCGAATTCTTACTGTCCCGTTTAGTCGGACAGCGCACATGCGACTATCTACTGGGATCCAGTCAAGGAGAGATTGTTCAGCTCTACGACTCAATGTTATGCCTACGCCAGCAAGACCCCTGGAGGCAGCATCAGGGTTTCCAGATACACGAAGAGTAAATCGAGCTGCTTCTTTATTTTGACAAGGAGAAATCAGAAAAATGACTATATGAGGATCCTGTATGCGCGTTTCACAGACGCAGCATACATCGATGGCACGAGATTCTAATGTCCTAGCTAATGATGCCTAATGCCCTATTTGACACAATGTCCGTACATTAAATGCTCCAACAAGCAGTCTAGAACGAGGTTTCAAGAGACCAGAAATGACGTTTCGTGAACTCGCATCGTTTGCATTAGCGGTGCAGTCAGATAAGGGAATGTGAGCATAATTATTTGTGGTGAGAAGAGTGGTATGTGCGGGCGTCGAAAGGACTTGATTATGACCGATTAGGTCTTGCGTGCTGTTACGGGTATGAGGACGGTTGTCACTTCCCGGCTGCCCACACTGTGGAAGCTTGTTACTTGAGGGACCCGAAAACGAAGGTAGATTAGTGTCTTGGAGACCTGAGAGCGTAACCGCGGAGCTCAAGGGAAAACTGCTTGAGGCCGGTCACGCACGGCCTTTTCATGAAAGGTTTTTTGAGTATTAGCGCCACTGTTTTTAAAGCCCTTATTGGGCACCCTTACCGCCGAATACGGAAACCCGTGAAGTAGGGTTAAGTGTAACAATTTTAGTGTCGACCTTTTCTAACCCTTCCTTCCTTGTGAGAAGGCAGCATCGCTGCAGATGCTGGTTGTCCGAGGGAAACACCTTACCTCTGTCGCAGCCCTCTGCAGTCAGCAGTACGACTTCGCCCTCAGACCTTTTGTAGCTGCTTTTAGTCTCATCGTTCTCCAATCGACCTGCCTGGCATGGTAGGACCTGCAGGAACATAAATTCCAGCCGGTATAGCTCGGTTGGGTCATCACGATAGGCAAGCTCGACCACCACGTCAAGGTAGCAGCTACAGTCGGGCTATATGAAGAATAATTTATTTAATTGACCTTATATTTTTTAATTGACCTATGTGAAGAATAATAAAAGGTCAGTTAAATAGAAGTTGAAATAGACATAAGGTGATAATTGTAAATGAAGGGGAG